GCAAACATGTGGTTTCTAGAGCAGAATATTACTCTGTTTGCCGTGGCCGGCGCTTAGTCCTGACATCAACCCCATTGAAAACTTATGGGGCATCAGGGCGAGGGATGTTTACCAAAATGAGCGCCAGTTTCAATCTGTTGGTGACCTGAGCACGGCTATCCTTCGTTCTTGGGATTAAATTTCTCACAAGACACTGGATTATATGGTAAATAGCGTGGGGAGAAGATGCATTGAGGTAATTATGGCGAAAGGGAGTGAGATTGCCTATTAAAACGAGTGTATTTGATCCACAAACGGAAAAACATATCTTGGTCTTATAACCATTTCCACCTAGGTTTTTCTAACTTTCATAATTTCTTCTCATATATTTTGAGAGCATTATTTTTTCGCATAGCGTTGGAACCGTTTTTAAACGTAGTTTAACCTCGTGCAATTAGAATCTCATATTTTTCTGTGCAAGAAAAAATATTTGCAGAAAACTGGGTGGTCGTATAGCCATTTCCGGCACTGTATCCCTCACAACAGATTCCATTAGCTTACTAACAACACTTGTCAGACTGACAGGGCGATAGTTGCCGGGGCTGCTTTTGTCACCTTTTTTGAACAATGGTGTTACTTGAGCTTCTTTCCAGTCGGACGGTAAAGTTCCTTCGTTCAAGGTTTTTTGAAAGAGTACTGTAAATGGGCCGGCCAGAACGGTTGCTAATTCTTTGATCAATCTGGGATGGAAGCCGTCTGGTCCACATGACTTGTTGGGATTTAGAGCTACCAGGCGCTTGAGAACCTCTTCTTCGTGTATTTCGAAACCTGTTAGCTCCGAGCTGACTGGGCGCTCCTCAATATCTGGAATACTGTTCAAGTCCTCATCTGTGAATACACTGCTGAAGAACTGATTAAGAACGTTGGCCTTGCCCTCATCGGAGGAAATCTTTCGTTGGTCTACTTCCAAATCAGAAATACCGTTCTTTGACTTACACTTCGAACTAGCGTACGAAAAGAAGGCTTTCGGATTCTTTTTTGCATTTTTAGCAATATTTTTTTGAAGTTTTTCACTGCATAGCGACAAACTTTTTTAGCTTCATTTCGAGCCCTTGCATACAGGTTATAATCAGAATCGCTGCGAGTTCGTAAATATCGCTTGTAGGCTTCTTTCTTGGTCTTTAGCTGAGCCTTAACTGCACTGTTCATCCACTGGGACTTTTTGACTCCACCAAGCGCAATCTTAGGTACACAGGTATCAACTGCTGACATAACCGTGTCTATGAGAAATGACCATGAATCAGCCACATTCATGTCCTTAATACAGTCCGAAATATTCGCCGCATTAACCGCTTCACGGAGTTTATCATAGTCGCCTTTCGCAAAGTTCAAACGTTCACGCTTCCGAAGCGTTTTTTCTGCACAACAGTTAATATTGAAAAACAATGATTGGTGGTGGCTTTTGCCCAACGGAGCCTCGTGGCGAAGCTCATCTATCATTGATTCTTCACTAGTAAACACAAGATCTAGAATATTTGGGGTCTGTTTACCCCTAAGATGAGTTAGCTTGGTGATGTTTTGGATTAAAAATGAGTCTCGCACAGACTCCATGAACAGGGATGCTGGGTGATTCTCATCTCTTGGAGAAGATTCATCTGCCCAATCTATTTCTGGTTGGTTTAAGTCACCAACGATCAACGTATGCGACCTGCTGAATGACATGCTCGGTAAAAGGCTGTTTAGTACTTTATTGTTATCAGAGGAGCTGTTAGGTGATCTGTAAATGACCCCTATGAGTAGGCTATCTTTGCCTTTTAGAGTAAGTTCGCACCACACTGATTCTCTAGCTGATTGATGCTCTGCAGATAACTTAACTTGCTGGGCCCCATAAGAGGTTCTAACCCACAGAGCTACACCTCTACTGCACTGTTCTTCATTTAAGTTATGAAAACAATCAAAACCTGGCAGCTGAAATCCAACAGGTACAATTTTCCCCCCGTGATTTTTAGGGAGTGTTTCTGTAATACAAATAATGTCTATACACTCGTTTGCGATCACAGTTAACAGTTCACTTTTTTTGTTTAAAACGGAATCCGAGTTCGTGTAAAACATTTTAAAACTTTTTGTGCACTTTCACTTTGATGTATGCGGTTACTTCCTACATTATTTACAGGCCTTGATCTACGGACATCATTCCTACTATTACTAATTTCTTGTCCTCCATCTCCTCTGACTGTCCGTGAGCAGCCGGTGTTGTCTTGGCAGCTTGGAAGTGATTGACCTGATTTTCCGTGCCTTTCCGCCTGATTCTCTCCTGCCACTTCATGCGAAAAACCGCCCTTTCTAAGAGGGTGGAATCTTTCTTTACAAAAACTGACTTGTAATCAGCGGATTCTCCAAGCTTTCTCGCTGTTTTCAGCATGCTCCAGACCTGAGCAGAATTCTTTACAGTCACCAGCAGAGGTCTGAAGGTGTTACCAACATCATCCTTCGAGCGTAGCCTCTTGCAAGATATAACATCAATCGATGTGTTGAGTACCTTGCTGCAACAGTCTACAACAAAGGCCGTGTCATCCATCACTCGGTCCTTCACATCAGATGCGTTACTTTCAGGAATCCCAAACCAGATCAGGTTGGCCTTCCTACGTTCTCTATCAAGTAATTCACATGAGCTTTCACTAACGACTTCAGATGAATCAGCTGTCTTTTTCTTTACTTCCATTTCTTCCGTATTTTTCAACTGAGCCTTCACTTCAGTCAGCTCATTGCATAGCGAGCTCAGTTTGTCACTCAGCGAGCGCACCATCTCACTCAAGGAGTTTACTACATCATTCAACAATTTCGACTCATTGCCGTGCTCTTCCATCGACTCCTCTCTTTTTCGAGCACCAAGAGTTGTTTTTTCGCAATCACGGCATGACCAATGAAGCAATTTAGATTTCTGGAGAAATGAGTACTCTTTAGAGTTCAACTTCGAACAGCTGATACAAATGAGATCTTCACATCGTTCACAGGTAACTGTCTGGACTTCGCTCAGAGAGATCTCTTTGCAGTACTTGCAAACTTTCATCTCTAGCTGGGCTGATTTGGTTTTATTTTTTATTCTAGAGGCCGTAGAGGGCTTTTCTCTAGAGACCGTAGAGGGCTTTTCAACTATCTTTTCTATTTTCTGTCCAGCCATTATTAAATGCACGAACTAGATCTCTTGAACGGAGAAAAGGACGGAGAGAAATACAGAAAAGAACGGAGAAACATACAAAACTGAGTTGAGTTGAGTATAGTAAAGTTCCCTAAAAAAATTCGGCTGGAGGAAACAGCTGAGCTGCAGCTGGCAAGGGAAAGACAAGGGATGCCTGGTGGGAACAAGGGATCGACGTGTGAAGCGGGTGGAGAGGGGGAGGTGTAGGGTGGGGAGGGTACAGGAAGGCGAGGACTGAGCGTCTCAAGGCACCGTTGTTCTCCGGGACAGGCGATCGCCGAGGGTTCACAAGAAGTTACAAACTTTCCCTCGATTCATGCACGGCATTTATCTGGAATAAAACACTTGTACTAGCCGTTTTTCTCACTATTCGCACAATTTTTACTGAACTGCACTAAAATTGAACCTTTCATTGAAATCGTTTCGGTACAAATTCGAAAGATAAGTCAAACCGGCATAGTAAAAAGTGATAAAGTTGGGACCCGCAAACATGTACGTGCGTCCTCGAACACGGTCAGAACTCAACTCCTTCGTTTAAAGTTTTTTGAAAGAATACTGTCAAAGGGCCAGGCAGGACTGTTGCTAATTCTTTGAGCAATCTGGGCTGACTTGTTGGGATTTAGAGCGACCAGGCGCTTGAGAACCTCTTCTTCGCGTATTTCAAAACCTGTTAACTTCGAGTCAACTTGCTTCTCCTCAACATCTGGAATACTGTTCAAGTCCTCATTTGTGAACACGCTGCTAAAGAACTTATTGAAAAATATTAGTCTGGCCCTCATCGTAGGATATCTTTCGTTGATCTACTTTTAAATTAGAAATAGGTACCGTCGTTCGTCTCACAATTCGAAGTAGCGTCCAGAAATGAAGGCTTCCGGGTTCTTTTTTTTGCAATATATTCTTCAAAGTTTTTCCTTGCGGTGATAGAATTTTTTAGCTTGATCTCGAGCTCATTCGTACAGGTTATCAGCATCGCAGTGAGTTCGTAAATAACGCTAGTAGGCCCTCTTCTTGGTCTTAAACTTATATATCTATTCTGTTCGTTCACAGTGTTTCTTGCTCCACCGATCTAAATCTTGGGTACTCACGCGTCAACATGCACATAACCTTGTTCATGAGAAATGCCCACGACTCGACCACATTCATGTCCTGAATGAAGTCCGAAATATTCGCAGCGTTCGTTGGAGAAGTTCAGCATAGTCGCCATTCGCTAAGTTCAAACGCCACGCTCCCGAGGCGACTTTTCTTTACAGTACTAATAGTGATAACAATGATTGGTGGTGGCTTTAGAAGAACGGAGCCAATATGGCGGAACTCATCTCACATTGATTCATCATTATTATACACCAGGTCTAGAATATTGGTAGGCTGTTCACCCCTAGAAAGGGTTGGCTTGGTTCATCATGTTCTCCTCTTAGTCATAAGCCATGACCTATACCTGACCTATAGTTATTCATTCTGTAGATCATGTACTCCACGACCACGGCAGGCAGGTTAACTGACAGGTGAAGCTCGAGTGGTCAGTTGGAAAATCCATCATCTCTTCAACATGTCAACATTTTCTACCCTCCATCACGACGAATTTCAATAGAACTGAAACTATTTATAAGAATCCCGTTGCTATGAAGAGTTTTAATGATTAAGTCAAGGCTTCTTTTTGTTGATTTTAGTTGTGCGTGAGCATAGGCAAGTGATCACGTGGCGTGTGGACGCTAGGCGTGTGTATACTAGGCATGTATAACACTAGGCATGTATAACACTAGGCATGTATGACACTAGGCATGTATAACACTAGGCATGTATAACACTCATCCCTACACGACAGGTTCACCCCCACTACGTGGCGGCAGACTTCCAGAACGACGTGGCGTTAGTGCGGACGTCGCGGGACGTCGTGTACCGTGAGCACGTCGTGCCCGTGTGTCTCCCCGCCACGGGCGAGAACTTCGTCGGCAGCCTGGCCACCGTCACGGGATGGGGCAGGCTATCACACGGTACGCAGGCTATCACACGGTACGCAGGCTATCACACGGTACGCAGGGAGAGGAGCAGGCTATCACACGGTACGCAGGAAAAGGGGCAGGCTATCACACGGTACGCAGGCTATCACACGGTACGCAGGGAGAGGAGCAGGCTATCACACGGTACGCAGGAAAAGGGGCAGGCTATCACACGGTACGCAGGCTATCACACGGTACGCAGGGAGAGGAGCAGGCTATCACACGGTACGCAGGGAGAAGGGCAGGCTATCACACGGTACGCAGGGAGANTGCTGGTCACTAACTAATGTGTCTCGACAGGTGTGTCCCGCACGCCCGAGGTGCTGCAGGAGGTGCAGGAGGTGCTGGAGGTGCTGGTCACTAACTAATGTGTCTCGACAGGTGTGTCCCGCACGCCCGAGGTGCTGCAGGAGGTCGAGGTTGAGGTGCTGGACAACCGCGTGTGTCAGGCGTGGTTCAAGGAGGCGGGGCGGCGGGAGACAATCTACGACGTCTTCCTGTGCGCGGGATACAAGAACGGGGGGCGCGACAGCTGTCAGGTGCGTGGTGCTGGCAGGTGCGTGGTGCTGGCAGGTGCGTGGTGCTGGCAGGTGCGTGGTGCTGTCAGGTGCGTGGTGCTGTCAGGTGCGTGGTGCTGATTTTCTAATCAAGTTTAGTTGATCAAGTATTTTGAAGTAAACAAGACCGTCAAGTGGCAGATCCATGAAGGCAAGATTAGTATTAATTTTTTATATGATAGTAATTTTTACACACTCGCCCGTCTTAACAAGACAGACCGCCTTCATTGTGTGTATTGAATGCTAGTCTCAATTTATCATCTTCTGGGCTGGCATTATCAGGATCCTGCTCTTAGCTGCATCTCTGTCACCTTTACTATTATGTTCTGTGAACACGGTGTAGTATTAAATATTATATACATTATATACAATTATTGAATTTACATTTTATTAAGTGAAATCTCTTTCTAACGCCACACAAAAACAGGGCTTATTCTACCAAATAATTCGAACAACTACACAAATAGTGTTTGAGTTGAGCTCTGTATGCAAAATTTTCTGTATCTCACACAAACTAATATGCTAGGATTTCGGTATGTTCGTCGGTCCACAACGGCCAGCACCTAACCTAACCAAACCTAACCTAACCTACAGTGGGGGTGGAACACAGCGAAAGAGTGGGGTAACCTGGAGGTACCACATGGTCCCACTGGTCCCACAGAAACAGTAGGTTGAGGATCACTGGTCCCATGGGCGACTGTAGGTTGAGGAACGCTGGTCCCATGAGCGACCGTAGGTTGACCGCTGGTCCCATGAGCGACCGTAGGTTGATAGCCGCTGGTCCCATGAGCGAACGCAGGTTGAGGATCGTTGGTCCCATGAGCGAACGTAGGTTGATGGCCGCTGGTCCCGTGGGCGACTGCGGATTGAGGATCGCTGGTCCCATGAGCGACTGTAGGTTGAGGCTCTCTCGTTCCGTGGGCGACTGTAGGTTGAGGCTCTCTGGTCCCGTGGGCGACTGTAGGTTGAGGCTCTCTGGTCCCATGAGCGACCGTAGGTTGAGGATCGCTGGTCCCATTAGCGACTGTAGTTTGATGGCCGCTGGTCCCGTGGGCGACTGCGGATTGAGGATCGCTGGTCCCATGAGCGACTGTAGGTTGAGGCTCACTCGTTTCGTGGGCGACTGTAGGTTGAGGCTCTCTGGTCCCGTGGGCGACTGTAGGTTGAGGCTCTCTGGTCCCGTGTGCGACTGTAGATTGAGGCCCTCTGGTCCTGTGGGCGACTGTAGGTTGAGGACTTCTAGTCTTGTGGGCGACTGTAGGTTGAGGCTCTCTGGTCCCGTGGGCAACTGTAGATTGAGGCCCTCTAGTCCCGTGGGCGACTGTAGGTTGAAGCTCTCTAGTCCCGTGGGCGACTGTAGGTTGAGGTTCTCTGGTCCCGTGGGCGACTGTAGATTGAGGCTCTCTGGTCCCATGGGCGACCGTCGGTCAAGGATCGCTGGTCCCGTGGGCGACCGTAAGTTGGGTACCGCCTGTTTTACTCCGCGAAGCTACTTCATCTCGACATGCAACATACCGTTTATACATATTCAAGTATTGTCAAATAATGCAACTAGGGGTAAATATTCGCACCAGAATAACCGTCATCCTCTGCTCATAACGTTCAGTTTATGTTCAAATATTACTGCTTTAGTTCACTCTTTGCCGCTTGCAAGGATTGCATGACATCATAATGCCAAAACGTTCATTCAAATTTCAATTAAATATAATTCCTGATTTCATAATCTACCTATCTTTTCAAAGTTTTTGTTGGTTTTCCTCCATAAAAATCACGTAGCGACCTTTACTGATGAGCACCCTGCACTTAGTCCACTGTATTGTACTGACTAGAACCTCTGTTGCAGTGGTCGTTTGGTACCTAATTTACGCTAGATATATATGCGCTTGAGAGTGTCTTATTTACAATTGAATGTGTATTATCAACCTGTGGAATATTACTAGGTTTAGTTCCAAGGTTCATAAAGATTAAAGGTTTTACTTGAATAAATAAATTTTTCAATATATCGACGGGATGTTCAAAACAAACAGCGATGATTGCAGTTTTCTTTCATAAATCTTGACAATAGAGAGAGGTTACAAACGGCGTTGCTTAAACCAAATACCTGCCAAGTTACATACATCAGTACACAGAACACATGCATTTCATAATGCTAGTCAGATGAAAACATAACCATTACTACTTTGAATTTAACTGAAATATTTTTCACAAATCAGTCTTTACTCACACAGATGCTATTGGCAGACCCTGGATAGTATTAACTTTCACTACTTGACTATCATCTCATGGCATTTTAATATGATTAATCCTATTTTCAGATCTTGTTTGATGCGAGATAATAGGAGACATATTTATTATTTCAATTAGCACAACATCACAACACAATGAGGATTATAACCTAAATAAATCTTATTATTATTAGATTCTCACCCCAGTTTCTGTGCCCATAAGTTGGACAAGGAAAGGCGACCAGACGAATGCATCGGCTACGATCCCGTATGTCGTGGTAGTGTTGCAGTTATAATAATAATAATAGCGGTTTAATAATTATGCCGTAGGCCTGTCGCCGATTCTTAACATCGCAGAACATTCACAGCTTGTTGCGGTCTCGAACTCGCAACTCACTGCTTCAAATTTTGCTGTGCTTAACCGCCCGGCCTCCTCGCCGATTCTGAGCAGAAACTGGCGCACAGAGCTGAGATCGAACCCGCGCCTCTCTGCTCCAATCTTGATACTCACTGAACTTTAATCACTGGGCCACCCTGCCCAGTTGGGCAAGCGCCAGATTGTTATTTGACTAAACATTGTTGATCTTTTCGATCTATGAAATTCTACTTTATTTTAACATAACCACCGAACGTATGTGCAAGTTACAAAGGTAAATTTACATTTGTCCCGAACATTCTTCATTTTAAAATTCATGACAAAAGGAAATAATACATTTTAAAACGTTCACTACCAATACTCAGTTGTACCATGAGTGTGCCTCACTAGAAAGTAATTGCTTATATTAAAGCTTATGACGCGCGTATGGTGATGTCACTCCTGCGTAATACGCTGAAGATGGCGTGCGATAGCCACCGTCGGGACCTCCGGCTAATAGACTTAACTGTAACAACGCCAAGGGCGACGTACGACACTGTTGCTGTGAATCAGATTGTACCCTTACTCCGACTGTAACCCTGACTCAAACTGTATCATTGACTCAGACTGTATTCCTGACTCAGACTGTATCATTGACTCAGACTGTATTCCTGACTCAGACTGTATTCCTGACTCAAACTGTATTCCTGAATCAAACTGTATGCCTAACTCAAACTATGTTCCTGACTCAAACTGTTTTCCAGACTCAATCAGTATCATTGACTCAGACTCCATCTCTGACCCTCGACCTGACTAAGACTGTCGTCCTGACTCGAATTTCGCCCTGACCCCACCATGCAGGGAGACTCTGGCGGGCCCCTGACGGTGATGCAGAACGAGCATCGCGTCCTGATCGGCCTCGTGTCGTGGGGCATCAGCTGCGGCCGCGGCCAACTGCCTGGTGTCTACACTAACATTACCAACTTTATGGACTGGATACCTGACAAGATCAAGTGATGTGTTGCGTCAACATCCCCACCCTGCCCTCAACGTAGACTGGATACCTGACAAGATCAAGTGATGCGTTGCGTCATCACCCCCACCCTACCCTTACCGTAGACTGGATACCTGACAAGTTCAAGTGATGTTTGGTCTCCACCTCTTACTCCTCTTGATGGCCACATGATGCCTGGCGTCCACCTCCTCCCCTCGATGGCCAAATGATGCTTGGCGTCCACCTCCTCACACCACAAACTTGAAACCTGAGATGGCAAAAAGTTTTTTGTCGTTGACTGCCTCACTTTGCAGACTGGATCTGTAATGAATCCTAGTAATATATTGCGTCGACTGCCTCGTAACTCCCAATAATTTATGCCTGACAATAACACGCGACGTTCAGCGCCCATTACGTAAGAAAAAGGTTACTTGGATGTCCCATGAAGACACTAGGTGGTCTTGGTGGCATGTCATGGATAATCAATCTGTATATGATATAAATGACAGTTAGTGTGTCTACAAGCTTTGTTATAGTATCGTTACTGGATGATTGGATGCTTACGTAACGTGGGTAACGTATGAAAACCTACGAAATCCACGTACGCCAGTTTATCCCAAGCTAAGCAGGATGAACGTGTTGTAGGAGCAAGTTACGGGCGACCGTCACTCTGAAGACTGAATGACACCGATTGCTGCTGGATTGTTCGAAAAATCATCTCCAATCAACACGTCTTCTGCTCCTGGCCGATTTTTTTGTCCATTTTTTGAGAACTCGAGCGAATGAACTGAAGTTATCACTAGTCAAAAAATAATGAGAAGTCAAGAAAACTGAAAACCTAGGCCTTCGAGGCAAATACGTTTTAATAAAATTAGCAGTAGAAAAATGACATGTGCATCAATCCAGTTCTTTACTTCAATGTCAACCCGGTAGTGCTGCTTTTCTCCTCCTCGACACCAGCTGCACTAGCCACCTCAGTGCTTTGGATTTTTTCTTCATAATAATTTTTTCGTAACCTACAATTAATTGTACCTAAGATGCATACAATTCACAATCATGCACATAAAATACATCATTCACAGCTTTCGCTGGCGCGTGATTCATCGGTGTCGTTTCTGTTTTAGTTTTTATGTGTGTGCGGTTTTGGGTATTTCACAAAGAGGCAACTGACGACAAATGAAAACAGACAAATTTAGCAGCCATTCAGACTATAGCCAAACTTTGGTTGCTGAATAGTAACGAGGAATACAAATTTACTTTACCAGAGGGTCCAGAGCGTCAAACAAGAGGGAACGTAAGCGATTACGCTGACGTGTAAACATCAACCACATGAAAACAAATGTAGGTGATCACTTTGCCCAGTGAGCGTCAACCAGAAGGGAACAACATAATTGATCAAGCTGCCATGTAAACTTCATCCACGAAGGAACATAAGTGATCAACTGCCCTGTAAACGTCAACAAAGAGAGAACATAAGTGAACACACATGCAACCGTTACGGAGCACCGAATCGCGCTCCGTTTGCTCCAATTGCAAGACTTGTGAAGAACTTCGCAACCTAAGTGCGCATGTAGGAAGACTAAACTTACTCCAAACTTGTGACTACACTCCTCCACTTCACACCACAAGTTTGTGTTTGGGCCGACTAAACTTACACCAAACTTGTGACTACACTCCTCCACTTCACACCACGAGTTTGTGTTTGGGCTGACTAAACTTACACCAAACGTGTGACTACACTCCTCCACTTCACACCACGAGTTTGTGTTTGGGCTGACTAAACTTACACCAAACTTGTGACTACACTCCTCCACTTCACACCACGAGTTTGTGTTTGGGCAAAATAAATTTGCACTAAACTTATTACTACACTCCCCCACTTCACACCGAGAGTTTTTGTGCGTGCAATCTATACCTGCACCAAACTTATTTCTTGCGTGCGACTTACGCTGAGATGGAACTGCAGTGGAGCACTCAGTAAGCCATAATTGCGCGAAGCCTTGCAGACGTTTGTGCTCAGGCGATTAATTCAGACTTAGATAAATCACGAATTTCTTTTTATTATACATCCTTGACCATAAACGTTATTCTTAACAGTAATCTCGCTATTCTGAATACCTCCTTGACGTCGTCTAAGTTCATTTCAATCACAGTACATTTTTCTTCTTTTGGTCCTCATTAACAATATCCATGACAAAAACTACTCAAGCCTGCAATCGGAACCAACTATATAACCTGCAACACCATGTGCATCTTCCACCTTCAATCTCTTACGACTATCATTCACAACATCCACCAACACCAACATCGCCACCACAACCACCACCACCACCATTGCTAACGAAAAACATACAATTTCGTTACGTTCATTTTCGACCTACGCCCCTTGCCGGCTCTCGACATGGCATCGACTCCCGACTTTGGCCGCACCCTTGACGAAGACGGGACATTCAAGTAATTGTGTCTCTGTTTCCTGTTATCCCTAGCCTGCCTCGTATTAACATTGTTGTTACCTTCTATTATTTACTACTTGATGACGTCTTCATGCCATGACACTTACGCTCAACGACAGCATGAGTTGCCGCCGTTATCCCGGCAGTGGGAATGCCTTGTATCCGTCCAATCATTTAGAACTAACTTATTTAATCTAGGGCTCTGCGGAATGTTAATTAACTTTACTTGATGCTTCTTCCTGTTAATACCAGTAATTAGTTATACATGATGAATTGAAATGTATGCTTATAATGAGTCGATGCCTTGCACGCGTCAAAAGCATCGTGACGGCTTCCATTCACGTGCATCCTGCACTGCACCGTTTCTGCACCGCGCTGAACCAGTCTCTCAACAATTATTTTCGATGACTTATTGCTGCATGCACTTCACGGAACTACACCTGCTTTGCATGAGCTTCTTTTCTGTGGCAGCTGCACGGAACCATTTCACTGCAAGTGCATCGCTGCTACTGCTTCACTATAAAGGATGCGCCACAATTTCTTCACTATAATTGCTTCCGAGGCAAACCTGAAACGGCCTGCTGACCTAAATTCCAACATCAACCAGGCGCGGCTCGTGGACAAGATTTTTATACCTTTTTCATCTGCATGTGCGGGATGCCTTTCGAGAAATCTTTATATAATCTACTTGGACTCGTGTCCTTCAACCTTCTAAAGCGGATAATTTGATGGGGAACCTGCATGGAATCCTGACTGCGCACATGCCAGTTTGCTAATTTTACAAACCAATTTGCAAATGTAGTAGATCTGCTTCAACATTTTCAAACACAGCTACTCATTAACTTGCTTGGAAAACTTTATTAACCTGCTTGGATCCTTTTCTCAACCTGGTTGTTCAGCTATTGGAATGTGCAACAGCTAACTACTTCTCATGTACATTTATTCTCAGCAGGTATAAGGGTTTTATGATATTTCTTTGCATCAGTTTGAGCCTGGGCCGCTCGACTCTTTATGTAACAAATATAATTTTCAATGAGAACCTTTGGTCTCCAGAATATAAAAAATTCCACATGAACAGACCCCAAATAACAGCTGCTGCGTCCCTCAGGGGGACTCAGGCAGCCCGCTGACGGTGTCGGAGCAAGGGCGCCGCACTCTCATCGGCCTCGTCTCCTGGGGCATCGGCTGCGCCCGCAAGAACCTGCCTGGCGTCTACACCAACATCGCCAAGTTCTCCAACTGGATACAGGACACGACGCGGGCACGGTAGCTGGTTACGATGCGGACACGGTAGCTGGTTACGACATACGATGCGGACACGGTAGCTGGTTACAACTTAAGATGCGGACACGTAGCTGGTTACAACATACGATGCGGATACGGTAGCTGGTTAGAACTTACGATGCGAACACGGCGGAACACGGTAGCTGGTTACAACTTACGATGCGGACACGGCATCTGGTTACGACATGCGATGCGGACACGGCAGCTGGTTACAGCATACGATGCGAGTACGGTAGGTGGTTACAACTTACGATACGGGCACGGTAGCTGGTTACAACATACGATGCGGACACGGTAGCTGGTTACACCATACGATGCGGATACGGTAGCTGGTTACAACTTACAATGCGGACACGGTAGCTGGTTACAACTTACGATGCGGACACGGTTGGTCACGACGCAGGCACGGTAGCAGGTTACTAAGTTAGTGAAGCATTTCTAGTGGAAATGTGATGGTGTACATCACATCCCCCTTGCTGCTGGTGTCTGCCCGACAACGTCTTCAAAAACGCCGTTCAAAAGAAAACATTCAAAAGACCGGTCTCGCCTCAAGTTTTTGATTGAATCTTTGTGTTGATTGCAGCAGTACCGGCCACGTCGCAGCCTCCCAGACATTCTGTCTATACTGACCACGCTGCAAATGAAAGACATTTTATTCCTACTTATTATAGCTAAGATGTAAATATAATAGCCGATTTGTTGTAAAATTCAGTAAATATTGTAGATTTGTTGTTATAAGTAGATTCGTTTTCATGACGGAGAAAATAGATTTATTGTTCTGGTGGGTGATGAGCTTCTGGGTAGGAGGAGAGGATGACAACCGCTCCAAGATTAGGCCACGAGCCATCACACTCGGGTTGTGATGTTCCATGCAGTGTGGATGGGGGAATATGTAATTTTTAATATGCAAATTAATTATGCCAATGTGACTGAATTATGCGTATTTAGTTAACTGAATTAGACAAGAATTGCTCTTCAATTAATGCTGCTGTAGCCGTGACACTTCTAAATATTTCGCCTTGCTGTTTCATGTACATCCGTTCAAAGCAAATGTATGTCTTGGGTAAGCATGTACCCCCAGGAGATAGCTCATGAAACTGTGCGATAAGCTCCTATACCACTTAAGTGTAGCAGCAGGTATATATTGAATGCAGTATTAACACGGCGAGATGTTCTTCATTAGTTTAGCAAATATTCGTATATATGGTCCACGTGACGTGGCATAGCTGCGGCGAGTTTTCATCTTGACGTAACGTCCATCCTGAATGAGGAAGGAAGTGTTTTATAAAACAGCATGTATCGTATTCTAAGTATGGAATAATAAATTGAACTCGATTTTGGATGTCAGTATTTCATTATCTCCGTACTTTGAAAATCAAGGCACCATTTGCAAGGAAACGGGCCGGAAAATGTGGTCCTAAGTAGAGGTGCAGATAGGTGAAGCTAGCTTTAGCTGAAACTGCAACCACTGGGCCGCCCTACACGTAAAAGAAAATGAGACGCAGTGAACACGAGTGTTGTGATTCAATTTGTCATTCAACTATTATATATATGCCTGCACAATTGATGCCTAAATATTTCCTGGGGAAAAAATTTACACTGTCCTAACTTGGACATTCTCGCCTTGGCAAGTAAATCATGGGAGCAATTAAGTTCTGGTTCAACCTACGTTAATTTTTTAAGACCTAATTTAAAAAAACACTTTCAACTTATGTTTTGCAGAGAGAAATTTATTTAAGATGTATTAGCACAGAAGAATTATTGCGTAAAGATAATTATCTATACCCATCGTCGATTCAGGACTTAAGGTATATTAAGGCAGGATGGCCCAGTGGTTGAAGTTCAGAGTACCAGGATTGGAGGCGCGGGTTCGATCCCAGCTCTGTGCGCCCGTTTCTGGTCAGAATCGGCGAGGAGGCCGGGCGGTTAAGCACAGCAGAATTGAATCAGTGAGTTGTGAGTCCGAGACCGCAACAAGCTGTGGATGTTCTGCGATGTTAAGAATCAGCGACAGGCCTATGGCCTAATAAACGCTGAAACCGCTATATTGTTGGCAGCTGAGCATGAACATAATAAATAACATTATAAGTAAAATTCTGCGGAATCCTACTTCCACTGTTACCACTATGAATTCATTGCTTTAGTTTGTATCTAAAAACATGAGCTTGTGTTCACATTGACATGTTAGCAAGCCATGGTTGAACTATATACAAGTTCAACCATGTTAGCAAGTGTGTTAGAAAATTTTTTCGGTAGTTCACGGCACTCGTTATAACTTATGGTGTGCATCCGCATCTCTTAGCTCGGACCACCTCACGTTACCGTTTGCTTTTTTTTTTACCTATGTCTTGGCACTGAAATACTACTGGAATTAGCAATTTCACTTGTATTTATATTAGATGTTCTAAATGATTACCCTGCATGTTAGGGCTTATATAATGCATATTTTGCTAAGTATTCATGCCACGTGATATGTTGATAAGCAGATCAGATATATTATCATCTTATGTTTTCCATCCCGAGTGAGCGTGACGCGTGAGCAGTTGCAGTAGGGCGTAGGCTTAGGCTAGTGTTAGTAGGCTCTCACTCTCAGCTCTTCTGCCTCTGCAGGCTGCAACCTGCGTCTGCATCTCTGCCTGGTTTATAATTTTTGCCTTTAAGTTAGCTGTAACTGGACTGCAAGTTGCAACATTAATATTACGTGAGAGTTGAATTGCCACCACTGCCCACAGCCACAAGGCACAAGTCACAACACTATGACACTGTCTCATCTTCACGCAGTCACGCTCACCGTGTCACCAGCTTCCAGTGGAAAGGATTTATTTCACAAAGAAAACAGAACCCAACTTTCTATAGTCACAGTAAGTCACTGGTGACACTGTCTACTGTCTAGTAGACTAGTATGTTTAACACTTAACATAACAGACTACTCTACTCAGTCTACTCTACTGTCAAGCTAGACGCTAGTGTGTAGTGTCTACTGTCTAGCTAGTGTCTACTGTCTTGTCTAGCAGCTCTACTGCTCTAGCTAGGAGCCTAGGACTAGGAGGTGAGGTAGGACGTAGGAGACTAGGAGAAAAGAGATTAGGAGCCCTCATCCCTCAGCAGCCTGCGGCTCAGCCTCTCAGTCCTCACCGGGGTCACCCCAAGCCTCAAAGTCAAAGTGGAAAATTTGTATTGGTAGCTGCTAGGTATGTGCACAAAAAATTTTTTTCCTTTGATCCTAATGAAAATTAGACTTCCAGTGTCAGTGTGGAATTCTATATAGTTTATACATTCTCACAAGTCATTGAAGTCACATATACGTAAGAAAATGGAATCGAAAAGCGTATACCACAATTTATACCTTCTACCGTAGGCTTCTGCCGCCCGCTACATATTTAAGTAGCAAAACAAGCCTAACAAGGTTTAGCCACTACAGTGCTATCACCATGGTGGCAATCCATAGGTTATTCAAAAGAACCTGTTCTTATGTCATTTTGAACTGATCAACGCTTCTTTACGGACCGATCGTAAAACACCTTCACCGGCAAAAGCTTTTGCACTTCTGAAGAAAGTCAGCTGACAGCTACACTGGCCGTGGGGCGTGTATCCCAATAGCAGAACAATAAACATTTAGAGATTTCCAATAATTTTGCCCATTGTAGCGGCTAATGTAGTGGCGCTACATTTTACTGTAGCGGTAGCGGTAGCACTCGCTACAATCTAGTGGGTGTAGCAGTAGCAGTAGCGCCTGCTACATTTAGAGCAGTTAGCGGTAGTGGTAGCGGCCGCTACATTTCAAGGTAGCGCTGCCCAGCTCTGCATATATGTTTTCTTACAATGAATTTTTATAATTTTTTCAATAGAGACTCACTTGGCATCTAAATTATGTTGTCATATATAATTGAATGACAAATATGAAGAAATATTATTAAATGAATATTTATAAAATAAATCTGAAATGTATATTTGTCAATATATATTTGAAGAAATAAACAAAAGTGTATGATTGCTACATGTGTGAGATTATACTGAGATTAGCCTATGGTCTATTGTCCATTATAGTCTACTACTCAATATGTCAATCTTTTATTGAATGTCTTCCAATATAAATGTAATATTTTGTTAGGAGAATGTAATACTGCCATCAGCCTCAGCTTGCAAACTAAAAAAAATTGTAATTAGTGATATTAAACCTGTTGCTTCCACTCTATGCAATCTTTACAAAACTACGCCTCCAATTACCCTTCTCACTACTTGCCTACTATCACCTAGATGTTTCCAACATATCTGTATGATCTCTTGATATTGCTTTTCATTACTATAATTTTATGAGACAATAACAAGTCAAATACTATGAATGAAAAGTAAACTAGGCCTTTGATAAAACCTTATGTTGTTGTTTGATCGGCAACTATAGCCCTTAACTTAGAAAAGGACAGCCATGAACATAATGGCAAGACATCAAAGCAAATTCATGGTCTGCATTCAATGGCTTAGCCACACATGTGCAGATGGCATAATCATGCCAGTGCAGATGGCATGACCATGTCAGTGCAGATGGAATTATTACGCCAGTGCAGATGGCATTATTACGCCAGTGCAGATGGCATNGCCAGTGCAGATAGCATACCCATGGCAGTGCACATGGCATAATCATGGCAGTGCAGATAGCATAACCATGCCAGTGCAGATAGCATACCCATGGCAGTGCGCATGGCATAATCATGGCAGTGCAGATAGCATAACCATGCCAGTGCAGATAGCATACCCATGGCAGTGCACATGGCATAATCATGGCAGTGCAGATAGCATAACCATGCCAGTGCAGATAGCATACCCATGGCAGTGCACATGGCATAACCATGCTAGTGCACATGGCGCCACCATGCCAGTGCACATGGCATAATCATGGCAGTGCAGATGGCATAATCATGCCAGTGATGATGTTTAGACCTGGTTTAAAGTTATTCATGTAATTCAAATATTTGATTTGCAGTCTACCCATCATCTTACCATCAGCTGTTAAAAGTGTTCATTTGTATGACTTTTTCAGAGCAATCTTAAATTTATTTATATAACTTTCAAAGAAAAAAAAGGCAGTATGAATCACCTGCATAATGTTCAATAAATAATTAAGCTGAAAACTTAGGAGCATTTTGACTAATGTTGTTATCTTAATACAATATGCTGTACTTTTTTTTACTCTGAAATTACTTTGTTTTGTTTTTTGCTGAGGTTTTCAGTTATTTATATACATGCTCTTGTTAATACTTGCATTATTGATGCAAAATTTAAGATACCAGATTAGATACCTGAGAATATATATATTAGTATTTTTTGAGCAAAAATGTATGTGTGTAAATGTATGTAAAGGTTACTTATTCAAGTATGTATGTTGCAGTTGATGGGAAACACTGTTGTTTATACTGATTCTGATTTTGAAGATTTTCTCCTGAATTCTTGAATTCTAATTGGATAAACTTTTACAGAGCCTCTGAAGCCAGAAGCAAAGACTTGGCATGGCACCTCCCAGGCTCTCTGCCACTTCCCTCTTGCCCAGCGGGTCCCAAATTCTAGTTACAGTCCTACAAGCTCTGCCTGACATATTGCTTGTGGGTGTGGACCATCAGGAGAAATATTTTCAGGGAGTCCTTCTGGATTCCGCCATTGGGTGAGCATCTTTTATTCCGGGTCTCTAGTATAAATTTAATGCTAGAGAAGAGCTGTAGAATACAGATTATGATTCAAGCATGTTGATGCTGCTGTAGTTTATGTATTTTGCTGCATTCTAGATGCTTTTGGTGTATCCAGTGCGGCTTATGCCACCTAGACTGATGCTGCTACAGGACACTGTCCCACTGTAACACAAGCAGCAGCACATGCAGTCCAGACTGACACTGCTACAGGACACTGTCCCACTGTAACACAAGCAGCAGCCCATGCAGTCCAGACTGACACTGCTACAGGACACTGTCCCACTGTAACACAAGCAGCAGCACATGCAGTCCAGACTGACACTGCTACAGGACACTGTTACACTGTAACACAAGCAGCAGCACATACAGTCCAGACTGACGCTACTGCAGAACACTGTTCCACTGTGATGCACAAGCAATTTTCAACTCCCACAGTCTTGTAAGGCCAGTCTTGTATTGATGAGGAAGGGACTTGGAGAGTAAAGGGACCTGGGCCTATACTTTCAAAAAATTTTAAGAGATCGTAAGTTCATCAGCCAATCATTGACGGCCTTTCATGCAAAAACCACCAATCATTGACAAGAAAATAGAGCGTAAGTACTTACGTTCACTTAGTGAGTTTTGAACGAATGGCCCCTGGACCTCTCAAACCATCAAGCTGCTGAATTTGGCTGACAGAAACCCACCACAAATTTTGAGCATCAGTTGGCTTGCTAAGTCCTCAAACCCCTGTGTCTGGGAGGCAGAATGTGAAAACTCCTTGTTAACCTCATGTCTCAGCTTTTGTTACTTATTTTGATTACTTACTTAGCTACTTTAATTTGATTTATTTTCATGGAAAGTTTACATGGATTACCTACCTAGCGCCTTGTTTGATTGTAATACTTTGTTTTCAGTCGACTGCCGTGTGGAGTCTATCCCCCTGGCGGCTGCTACCCTCCCCCACCCGACCTGTCAAACAACAAGCTCTATTCAGTGAAGCGGCGTCACTCTTACTTCTGCGGTGACTCTGACATCAGCAACGCTGATAATGCAACCAATAAATCTGTTACTCAGAAACGTACGAAACCTGGGAGCCGACCATCTGTGAGGCTGCGACCAAGACACGTCCTTTGTTCTGGCTGTCGCCAGGTGTGCAATGAAAACAATGAGAGAGTTGGCCATGCCAAGTCCGTTGCAAGCAATCATGCTGCGTCTGCCCCAACTGGCAATGACAGGAAAACAGACGCCGAGTTTCCATCTGTAAAAGTTGTAGAAAGAAGTTCTATTCAAAATGAAAATGTGGACGCACAGGCTTGTAAAACTCGGTCTGGTGTTTGCACGAGGAAAAGTGGTAAGCAAAATGTTCCTGCAAGTAGAGAGACCACTTCCAAGGACTGTAATAGTACTTCAGGCTCAAAAAACTCGCATAAAATTAGTCTGAACAGTAAGATATCACAATCTAAAAGCTTTGAAGAAACAAAATCACGAAGTATTCGTTCTACGCGTAGAACAGTTGACTTGCAGGTCACATCACCACACACCAATAAAAGAAAACATGAGCAGCCTACATGTGCACCTGTTTCGGTACCCAGATTAAAAAAATTGAAAGCTAGCGAAACAGAAAGTGCTAATAATAGTCATGGCGATTGTCAACCAGCACCTGCTTTGAAGTCAGCTGGTTCCTTGGTCATAAATGAAGTTAAATGTGATCTACGTCTGGCAGGTTCGAGAGCTTCCCAGCCTGCTGAGCTCGAGCCTTGTATCAATTCAAAGCCTCTTCTAGTCTCCAGTTCCAAGATTGAAAGTGAAGAAAAAATTTCTTCTGGTCAAATTCCAAAGTTGCGTTTCTCATCTGTAAATAACAGAATTGCTAAAGTTACTCTCACAACTTATGACCAAAGTCTGTCACAAAGCAGCAAAAAACGGACTTCCAAGGCTCCTCAGAGCTGCAGACTGACAGTCCCTAAAATGGTGCTTTGTAAACCGTCAAGTATTCCTTCAGAAGCGTTCGTACCGACACATGAGTGTAATCAAGAACATACGAGCTCTTCAAGCGCCTCTGTGCCGAAGGTTACTATTCTTCCTTTCTCAAATAAATCAATCAACGAAAATTGCCTGTCAGATACAGTGGAAGAAGTTCAGGCTGAAAAACATGTTGCTGAAGATGGTGGTCAGGCCTCAGACTGTGACGACACAGGTTCTCTAAAGCATGCAGCTCCTCTCCTGAAGATATGCATCGCTCCTGATGGTACGGGCACCATAATGAATATTGCACCAAAGCCTGAAGTGCCACCCTCGCTTGAAGATAATAACTGTCACCCTGTCTCTAGCAGCCACAAAGGTGTTGCTAATAAGGCGGCCAGGAAGGCACTCAAGAGAGCCAGAAAAGAGGCGCAGAGAAAGCTAATGATGAAAGGTTCTCCTTCATACTCATTAATAGGGGGAGTCTCCCCTAGGTATGGAAGTATGTCGCCCCTCGGACTTGGAAGCCTATCTCCTGCACGGTCCTGTTGGCAATCCGATAGATTTGCATATATGATGAGCACTAAACACAGCTTGTCGTCACCGGGTCGAGTGGGCGATTCTTCACCCGTTCGATGGAATGGAACCTCACCAGCAAGACTCAACTGCCTGTCACCTTCCAGAAGAAGTGATGATAAACCTCCTAATTCTTGCAACATTTGGGAGGCATCATCCAAAGAGAACGCTTGCGAAACCCAGCTCACTGAAACGAATATACCCAAGAAACACAGACACAAAGTTAAGCACAAGAAAAAACACAAAGAAGACCGTAAACCTAAGGGAATAATAACAAACGACCGCGATGAGCAGAGTTTGCTGTTACCATCGTGTGGTGCAGCTCCTCATGCCTCAGACTCTGCCAGGCGTGACCACAACGATCCACAAATATCCCGTGCTAATTCTCCTAAGCAAAAATTATCACTTTCAATCAAACGGGTGAAGAATGATGAATTTGCGTACGTAGCTCACGACTGTAGCTCAGAAGAGAGTTACTCCTCTGGATCTATCAGAGGGTCCGAGCCAGAAAATGTTCTAGAAAGTACCACTAAGGAGACAATAAAAAAAGATCCAATCGTTTTCAGACGTTCTCCTGTCGAATTGAACGTCGAGGAGCGTTCCCTTGAAGAACAGGCAGGTAGATATGACAAGATGACAAGTTCCTCTGGAGAACCGGTGATAGGTGATGACAAGACTAGTTCTTCTGAAGCTACAGCAGAAGGTGAGGACATGACAAGTTCCTCTGAAGAATCTGCGGGAGGTGAGGACAACAAAAGTGTCTCTGAAGCACTAGCGGACGACAAAGACGGCGCCAAGATACTCTCAGGGGCCTCCTCAGTGTCTAATGCCATCGTCAAAAAACAACTACCTGGAACCTCGGCTCTACTTACAACCGACCTCGATAGGAGCTCCCTTGAAGCGACAGTCGGGCACGAGAACAACGGCAAAAAACGTGCCTTTGTGGACTCTTCGAGCTCCTTCGTGAGCCGAGGCGAAGACTCCAGCGACGATCAAGGTGATGTGCCAGCTTTCCCCTCTGTGCCGTCGACTTCTGTGTCATCCGAATGGCGGGCACTGCATTACTGCTTCATCAGAACCTCCGCTTCCCGACCAGCTCACGTCAAGGATGACGTCCGTCTGGAAGCCCCCAAGCAAGAGGATTGTGTCCATCAACTCGATGACTGGGTCAGGCTTGCTGTGGGAGACGTGGTCTGGGCGAAAATTCTTGGCTTTCCATGGTGGCCCGCGCTGGTGAGATTCGTTGTATATTATTACTTAAATTATCAGCGGTCGTTTATAAATCCTAAAATTTTAGGAGAGATAGAGTGAAAGTGGCTGCGTGCTTTTGTTACTTGAAGTAAGAAAATGCCAATTTGATAGGTAATATATTTTTTATCGGCTTTACATTTCACTCATATAAACTGTTGTTGTTCATTGCTGTCTTTTATCCGTCGTTACTGATAGTGATAGAGAATTTAAATTACGTTTTAAAGGGCTGTTAATTTCTTAGTGTTGCATCAATCGAACCAGAAATGTACAAATTTCAATTTTTTTTTTTTTTATATTTAGGTGACACACTTGAGTACTCGTTACATAGGCAAGAGGAACGCAAGCGACACGTCCGCCCTCGAGCGAGTGCATATGCGCAGTGAAAGCGATCACTCGCAGCACGAGGCTCGGGTCAATTGGTACGGCAGCGCGACCACCTCCACCCTCCACCCCTCAAGCCTCAGGCCCTTCTTGCTCTTCTTCAAGGTCGTGTGGTTCCAAGTAATCAGGTCCTTCCAAGTTTCAAATATTCTACTATACTTTGTGGCATGACGGATTGTTGTAAGAAATACATACTTCTCCGTTTAGACATTCAAATTATCGTGTTCTTGTATTTCTGAATAAGCGTTTTCATTACAGCAGTTCTACGTGAAGAAGAAGCGTGGACCCTACAGGACTGCAGTCAAAGAGGCCCTCGCTGTGGCAGAGTCACGTCTCTACCAGGAGGCCATCGACCCCAACACTGAAGTCAGTGCGACTGCGCCTCCTACTGATGATAGTGCCTCTGCACTATCTGCTGATGACCGTACCACCGCACTGCTTGCTAATGATAGTGCCACTGCTCAATTTGTAGTGGGCAGTGTCGTTAGAAAATCTTCTGATGACAGTGCTGCTGCACAAACAGTTACTAAGTGTGCAACGGCCACCTTAATGGTTACAAAAAACTTTAATCCGTCCAACTCAATTGCTCACAGCTCCCCTTTGAGTCCTAAGGCTCTTTCCTGCCATACTTTTACATCTGCCATTCCCTGCAGCTTTCCTCTCCGTATCTCCACGCCTCCTGCCAGCTCCTCTCTCCCTTTTTCTACGGCTTCACCCAGCTCCTCACACCCGAGTTCCACAGCCCTTCTTAGCTCCCATCTCCCAACATTTGCGTCTTCCTCAGTGACCTGTAATGAATCAGCAATCGTAGCGTATGCAGGCACCGACGACGGCAGTGAGAGCCTGTATCAAGCGCGCCGTACGCCTGATGCTGCAAGAACCATAGCGCCCTCAGGTCCTTCACAGGACTCATCGTGGCTATCCCAGACAACACCAGCTGAGGCCGCCAGTAACGTCAGCCTCTTGCTAACAGAAGCAATCTTTTCGACGCGCCAAACTTCCATGACTAACAGCGTTGCTACGAACGCCACGTTGGAAAATCGTGAAATTTGCCTTAGTGAGGAGAGGGGCAAGAGCAAGTCATTACGTGGCGCCTCCGATGCTCGTGCAAAAACACTCTGTGGTGGCATCGAGGCTGTGGCAAAGCCATTCAGTGGCGCTTCCGATGACGTGACTTCGCAACTGGTTAGCGGTAATAAGGCGGGGGCTGCTGAGGACGCAGCCATGGCAGCACGAGATCAGGGGGTGAAGGTTGATCATCTGAGACGCCTGGGGAAAGCTGACGATCCCCCAAGGCGCTCCTCGGTTGAGGTGAGCCCTGTCAGAAGAGTCCCCGCGTTGAGGGTACAAAGCTTCTCAGCCATCGTCAACCCCTGCCACTCTCCCTCGTCTGGGGGTTCTCTTGGCAATGAATCCCCCAGCTCCCCACACCCCGTCGATGTCTTCAGTTGAGACTAATAACATGGCTTGTTCTTTATTGACTTAATCAAAGTCTCTGCGATTATATGTTGAATAGAAGAGTAGTACACGTGTCGGTAATTCTTGGTGTAGGTAGAAGACATCTGGCCCGCCATTCGACGCTTCACGGTTTCTTCACGTGACGCAGAATTCGATTCTAACACCTCAAGACGGGGCTGAGGTAGCGGCTGACGCCTATCTTCAGCATCGAAAATCAATGTCCTCATAAGACATGTTCTTAATGCACACATTTGTACGTGATACTCGCTTAAAATAATATGCCCCTGTTGGATGTTTGTACAGAATAGTCTTGTAGAATTAAGGAGTTATTTGTGGTGCTGTGAGAGAATATGTTTTATTGACTGTTTCGTACGTAAACGATTGCGTTAAGTGGAAATTTTTAATAATTTTTAATTATTGTTGTCTTACTGTTCAGTTATCTCATGGTTTAAATTCTTCCTTTAATTTTCTTCTCATCTAGAGCATTTTTGTACTATGCATAGCCTTTGCTTTCCGCTAACCACGTCTTTTAAGCCAGAGTTCTATTGTCACGTCTTCCAAGTCGTGGTTCTAATGCCACGTCTCTCAAGTCGTGGTTCTAATGCCACGTCTCTCCAGTCGTGGTTCTAATGTCACGTGTTTCAAGTCATGGTTCTAATGCCACGTCTCTCAAGTCGTGGTTCTAATGCCACGTCTCTCCAGTCGTGGTTCTAATGCCACGTTAGGTGTTGGATTACCGAATTATTTCTCGATTGAATTACGTGCAGATCCAGACCAAGGGCAGTAAAATTCGCCCAAATTTGTTCATGTTTATTGTGATGCTTGCTAAGGTTATGCGTTGGCAAAGGTTGACTATTGCTTATGTTAGTCTGTAGTTTCCACAATAAGCCTGGAGAACAATTTGGTCGGCGCGATGAATACATGGCAATTGTTTCATGCTTTTTAACGTGTCAATTTCATTGTAAATTAGTGGCTAAAATACAACTTGCATATACAAGTGAGATCTAGTTTGTGTATTTCTCCCAGAAAAACTCCTTGAAGGGTATTATTGAATCCAATAATCTCATTGACGACAAAACTATTAGTAATTTATATCAATCACTGGGATTCCGGTAATACTCCAGGTCTATAAAATTAGCTCATATCAAACATACGTCAGCTGTGTCATCACCCTCCATATTGCAGCAATTCAGCGTTATAAGTATTACATAAAGTTTCTCATTAACAATAAATAACAGCAAAAATAACAATAAAACTAATAACAATTATACTAGCTAAGTGTTAATGAGAGTAAGTGCGGCATGGTAAGTCACTTGCAACGCTTCAGCAGACTGTGATGGTGGCCCAGTGCTTACAGTTTAAAATATCAGGTTTGGAACAGTGAGTTGCAGGTTCGAAACCCCAGCCGTTGATTTCGAGAATCAACGAGTCGAAAATGAATATTTAGACTATTTAACGTGGGCGCCACCTCTACTAAATGATTGCAAATTAATGTCACCATAGCCTATGATGCCTGAACATCGTCGAAAAGGGGGAAAACTAATAATAAATAATATGAACTAGCCATAATTGTCACGTCACTTAGTATCCCAGTATCCTTAGTATAAGTTTCGGACGTAGCAGTAAGAGGCCGAGATGGATCGCCGCCTCCCTCCCCAACATGCAACGCTACCAGACCCCAGCTCCCACCTCTCACCCCAAACACCACCAGACGTGTCACGCCTCTCACCCCAAACACCACCAGACATGTCACGCCTCTCACCCCAAACACCACCAGACATGTCACGCCTCTCACCTCAAACACCACCAGACTTGTCTCGCCTCTCACCTCAAACACCACCAGACATGTCACGCCTCTCACCCCAAACACCACCAGACGTGTCACGCCTCTCACCCCAAACACCACCAGACTCTGTACACACTAACTGTCGTGACCTAATATTATTTCTGGGTCAGCACTAGGCCTTAATTTCTCGGCCACGATTTGTTCCAACCGAGCTTCAAAAGAACTCAACCTGGCATCCACGAAGTTCTGTAGCTTAGTTTCAAATAGGTCTTCAAGTCTGGACTCGAGTTTGTCAAGCCGCTCGTTTATAATTTGCTGAAGCCGTCCACACCCACACACCGCTGGGGCGAAAGTAGCAGCTGCTGACTCGCTGAGGGGAATCCCTTCACTTGGTCCTTTATGGGCAGCCAGGCTCGACTGCTCACAGGCTGCTCTGGTGTTTTCTTTGTTGGCTGTCACTGCAGGGGAAGTATTTGTGTGAGGAACAGAGGAGACTGTCACTGGGCACTGATAGCTTGACGAGTTTGAGGACACAACTGAAACTTGACTACCTGTTGGGAGTGCGATATTGTTGGTGGTTGTTGGAGAGCTGACTGCTATTTCAGAGCTGACAAAAGGGGCCTTCATTGATGTTGAAAAAGATGCATCACGACCAGATTCGGAGACTAAAACTCCATTCACTACATCCAACTGCTCCAGCTTCATAGTAGAATTGTTTACTCCCATGAGCTGAGAACAGCGATCTTCAGCAGACGCAAAGTCCTTGTTGAACTTGACATGCCCAGCTCCTGGTGATGGGACCTTCATTCCTACTAGATTCTTAAAATTCAAATTTTGACTAAACATCTCTAACAGATCATCTTTATTCAAGTTTTTTAGACCATCAACTGCAGTAATCACATTTTCTTTATTATCAGTGTTACCGTTTGAAATAAGCCGTGATTGTCTTTCAGAACCAAAAATACTGTGAGAATTATTGGAATGCATATGGTTATTATTTCCTCTTGCTGCATCATGAAGGTTTTCATTTGAGGTTTCTTTGCAGTTCCATTTAACGTTTGGAACGGATTTGATCGACTGCCCTGCAACTTGACTGCACCCATTATCTGGCGCACGACCGAGTGATAAACCCATGCCCATAAGAGGAATGAAGCTGCTCAGTGACGTGGCAGAATTGTTCTCGAGGTTGTCATTATAAAGTTCCACTAGCTTTTTGAGTGACAAAGCCTTGTCTGAGAGATGCAGGTTCCTCTCTGCTACCAGAGAGCTCAGCTGCCTGCTTGAGAACCTCCCAGCTGAGTTTTGATGCGCGTTCCCCGAAGACACTTCTTGCACTTGGGCAAAAACTCCATAGATCATAACAGATGTGTCATCATAGTTGTTTTTGAGTAATAACTTGACTTTGGTGCATGGTTTCTCCAACTTAATGTCAGTTCTGCATATAATTGAATCATGAAATTTCTCCATAATGCTGCTTTTTATGCTTGTGTAATATTCTCCATAATCGCCAATAAAAACTTCTACCAGTCTCGACTCAGAAACCAGCGTAACGGAGGAGACAGCGGCAGCATCGCCACACTGTAGCACGAGGCTGCAGGGAGAGGCCGTCTTATCATCTGGCATCAGCACAAAAGATTTCTCCTCCAACAGCAGATCTGGGAGAGCAGCAGGCACGTCGGTGCACACCTGCAAAAAAGGAAATTTGAGAAAAAGGGTCAGAGAAACTCTAAGCGTTAACTTAGTGTGCATGAACTATCCAATAAAATACAATAGTTAATTGAGCCCAATTGTCTCACTTTAGAGCATATATGCTTATTAAAAAATGTTTCTAACAACCAAAATCTTAAGCTATCTAACAAAATCATTAGTCATTCCAGAAAATCTAGCCAGCTCTTTGACCTGCCATGTTACTATATGGTGCCTAAGACGCAATTTAGCACCATCATGCCAGTATGCACACAACATAAAAGGCTTTAAAATGACCTAACATTCTACCAAAAAATGATAAAAGAGTATAAAAAAGACATGCTGCATTTCTTGGTACCATTCCAAGATTTAGTAAAACATTCACCTAGTTTCTCTGAGATCTTAGTCAGGGTTAGGCACGCAGAAATTATATATAAATGCCTAATGAGAAACTTGAGAACTAAGACATCAGTCAATAAGAACATTGAATGATCATAATTGCAGACATAATTTCTCGTGAAATTAAAGGCCATTTAAATGATTTTAGTAAAATTTCATGCACTCTAGCAGTCACACTCCAGAGCATAACTACTAAAAAATGAAATGCTGGTGAAATGTTAAGTAACAAACAAAATTTTGGGCTATCCAACACAATCTTTAAAGATGCAGAAAGTCTAGCCAGCTGGTAAACCTGTTAAGTTACTAACTACACGGCACCCAAGATTCACGTTTGATCTCCAAATACTCCAAATCTCAAAAATTGTAAAAAGATATAAAAAATCCTTGCCAGGAATTAGTAGAGGATTAAAGGCACCTAGGAAATTGTCTGACTCCAGGAAATTCAAAATTTGCTATCGAGTTTTTTTCATTCATGATTTGTCTCCAAGATTAATAAAAGTTAGTGAAGATTTCTATAAAAGCTTGCTTGTTTCAATAATTTTGTATTCATACCTACTCCACAAAATTAGCTTATCAATTCTATATTGTCTGACACAGAATATATCTACTGTCCACGCAGCAATTAAAGCTTCCTGTCATTTTTGGAGCAGTGATATCCACTCTAAGCAAATAAATGATCTTTAATATACTGTTAATAAAAGTACCGTAAAATGGGGTAACTTAGACCGGCGGGGTAACTTAGACCACTTTTCGTTTTTTAACAAAAACCCCCACAACTCAAAAACTCTTTGACATAGAAAAATTTTGTCAATGGGCATTAAAGGCCTTAATTGATTTTACCACCCGGTCTAAGTTACCCCTAGAGCTGGGGTAACAAAGACCATCACTTTTTTTGAAATTACATAAAGACTATGAGAGGCAGGAGCCAGCAATTTATGGTGAGTGAAGCTAGAGTATAGACCTGTATTTTGCATGTTTCAATTCAAGTTTAATTTAGCTAGTAAAGAAATGGCATCATTTATAATAAAAAAAGTGGTCTAAGTTACCCCATTTTACGGTATAAGATTGAGCCGCAAGTTTCTTAAGTTATTAAAATATGTCATTTTGGGATTTGGTAATAAGTGAGAATTTTTCAATTCTGCATACTAGGGAGGCTGTGGGCACACAAAATACCAGTGTCTGAAGTGAAAAAAACTAGTGTAATTTTTAAAATATTGCAGATCCAATATCTCATCATCTCAGCTGTGATTGGTTGAGATGGCAACATCTCTATTCCAGGCAGTGATTGGTTGATAGAACTGTGATTTTTTCATCTCAAGACTGTAATTGGTTATGGGATCATGTCATCCTATCCAAACTGTGATTGGTTTTGTGATGGATTTCCAGTATGTTTTTTTTTTTTTGTCATTTAAAACCCCTCTGGAATTCCAACAAGGACTTGTGAACGAACAAATGAATGCACAAACATAACTTTTGGCTCTTTAGCTGTGCAGTTTCTGGACCTTTAAAATGAGTCTAAAAACAGAGAAGTAAAAATTTTTTATTTTGACCAACATGCTCCCCTTAAGTATTGCACATGTCTAAATACCTGAAAATTAAAATCAATCACCTGAAATCCATTATCAATGATGAAGCCATCAGCAGTTTGCCAGCTGGATGAGAGCTTCATAGTCATATTACCTGAAATTATTAATTTGTTAGTATACTTTTAGGAATATGAATAATGGAGTCTAGCCTAAATCCAGCCTGCTCAGCTTCTGCCTCAACAAATTTCAAACAAATTTAGGCTTTAGCACTTTAATTTAGGTAGGTCATAACTTTAACTTATAAGGTCATTAATATTCATTCACAGGACTGTCAGGACACATATCAAGGAATCAAGCAAGTTTCAGCCAATGGGTGTGAGAATCAAAATTGCACAGTTAATTTCATTATTCCACATCAGCTATATGACTAATTCAAATTCAGGTAATGAATTAAAACTAAAAATTCTCATCAATTGGCTTCTATAATCTACATTATATTGTATAGTGGCAGAGGAGAACATTTTCTTGTTGCCCTTCCTCAAGTACATTTTTGATTGACTGATTCCTTTAAGTATACTAGTAAATATCTAGGATACTGCCATTATCATAAGGAAGAAATTGATTAAAATATAAAGTAGATGAGGAAATTAAAAATGAACTGATTCTGAAAAATCTCTGGTTTGCCACTAGTTTGTATCATAGCATAGTGTTGAAACAGGGACTTTTTATCAGGCTCTTCCACAATTCATTTTTGAATCTTATTTGTAGACCAGCAAAGTATGAAAGTATCGTGGATACTATCATACACACATTGTCATAGATAAGAAATTGGTTTAAATCTTGAATAGATATTGCCATATACATTAATTACCGTATTATTGATGTGCAATTATCGTATTATTGATGTGATATTACCGTATCCATGAACATGCCATTGAGCATTTACAACAACCTTGTCCACTGCAAGCTTCGTATCAGCAGCCTTATAGCATTTTTTTCGTNAGAGTTCTACTACAATGCATCAAAACCTGGAGTTATTTTACCAAAAAATAAAAAAATTGGAGGGAGTACTCCGATAGGCTTTAAATAATGGCTCTTTTTTGTGGGTCACATTTTTAATTTTTTAACCTATTAGATATGAAAACTTTTTAAATCTTTCTGTTGTGTTACGTACCTAGCCTCAGTATTAGGCCTTTGATGGCCATTGACAAAATTTTTCTATGTCGAATCGTTTTTGAGTTTTGGGGGTTTTTGTTAAAAAAATGAAAAGTGGTCAAAGTTACCCCGCCGGTCAAAGTAACCCCATTTTACGGTATATAATTTTATAATTGTTATTGTTTTGTTTCTAGTTATAAACTGACATAGCCTATTTAAAAATTGAAATCAAATATTTTAATAAGAATATTCATATAGAGTGGAAAATGTTTTGAATTGCCTAAAAGGTCAGTCCAATCCCAAGTTTTCAATACATATTACAGGGTGGGGTAGAACAGATTGACTGATTGAGCAGTTTTGAGGCAAAATAAAAGAGTAATGGAGTTACATAAAGAAGAAAGTTTATTTTTATCCAGGTTAGCAAAAATAAAAAAAATCATGATTTTTTTATAAAAAAAATCAAATGATTCAATCAGTTTGATTTAATCAATGCCAACCCTGACAGGATATGTAAAAATAAATGCAAATGGAGAAAAAACAACAATAAAAATGACATTAATAAGTTATTTAACGCTTTACGCCCTGGCGTGACGAATTCGTCACACAGAAAAAAACATCGGTTTTCCAACAGTTTCGCGTTTTCTGTCATTTTTTCGAAAAATTCACACGAATAAAATAAGTCTTAGATTTATTTTTTACATATGTGTACCAAGTTTCAAAGTTATCTGTTGGTAAGTAACCGAAATAAAATTTCCAATTTCCAATGGCAATTTCTTATGGAAATTCTATTTTGGTTAATTACTGACAGATAACTTTGAAACTTGGTACACATATGTAAAAGATAAATCTAAGACTTTTTTGTTCGTGGGAATTTTTCCAAAAAAGTGAAAGAAAACGTGAAATTCTTAGAAAACTGACAAAAAGGGGGTACTGTAGAAATCTATCACCTCCTATGATTTTTGAGCTACAACATCGAGACACATATCATTCGATGCGTAAGGACCATATCTATCGATTGGTCCTTGCTGTTTTTCAAAATTCTAATTTTTGTGGGTGGGGTGGGCATTTTTCGAAAAAATTGGTTTCTCCCCCCCCTTTTGAATTTCCCCTCCCTTTTTTCAAAATATTTTCAAAACTATAACAAAAATGAAAAAAAGCTTAAACCAATCTCTAGATCTTCTATTTGTGAATCGAACGGTATATTACTCATTGCTGTAGCTTAAAAACTCTGGGAGGAGATAGGTTTGCAGTGACAATAAGTGTGAATGTTCAGTAGGGCGCGACAAAGTCCCGAGCCCCTCAAAATAGGCATTCAAGGTGACATAGATGCAAGACTAGACAATACTGGAGCCAAAATTCAGTCAAGGTCCTCAAGGATGGTGGGAACGACTGCATGAGCACCATCCCACACGACAGCAGCCGGGTAACTAAAGAGCAGCGTCTTCAGGTTATCTATTTATGTGCCCGACCAGTAATTTTCGCCCATATTAAATGTTAAAAAACTCCCCCACCCCTAACCCTTTCACGAACTGTCGTCAAGGCATAAATCAACGTACAGAGACGATTTTGGTACTGTTGGATAGGTCAGAATGTCAGCTTTGAAGTGAGACTTAAAACCGAAAAAGTGAATTTTACGATTTTCATCCCAGAAATTCAGGGCGTAAAGGGTTAATAATGTGGCCACTGGCCAGGCTGCCAGGGTTCCATTGTTTCAAGAAAAAAAAATATAACCTTACTATGCAAAATATAGGTAGGGTAAACGCGGTATATTCCGACACATTAAGGACGCATCGAGAAATGAAAAACTATAAAAAAACGTATGCGTTACGTAAGTTCTGTTGCCTGCACATGACTCTCAAAACACTTCACTACGCGTCAGCAATGATGAAACGTCACAAAATGTTGCCATATTTATTAAAAAGCTTTTAGAATGGAAACCTACCAAATCCCTATATTCCGTCACTTTGTGTGGCAACATCCGACACGTGGTGAGTCGTATTGCGTCAGCGCTTCAAATTTAACTGATACTAACTACAAGCCTGAATTAAATTGACATGTCCAGGTGTGACAACCGACCTGTGTGAGGTCATTTACTACACCTCAAAGAAGACATCATCATCATCAAAGCTTAATATAAAGGAAAAGCTGGAGAGGTGACGGAATTACCTACGATGTCGGAATATACCGCGTTTACCCTAAAAGTGATCTAAAAAAATTATGGGATTTCAACTAGGTACCTTACCTAAATTCAAACCTTGGCTGGCATACAAACCCATGCCTACCTAGTAGGTACCTACTATGTGGCTACTGCCTTTTCTTGCCAAGAGAAGAGGAGGCTCAGGAGAGGGGGGGGGCAAGAAAGCCAGCCAGGTTCTTGACTCTGGAAGCCTGGAGGCTGGATGGAAGTTGGAACCCTTGCTAAATATACTCAAGGTATATACAGAATAGAACTAATAGAAGTATAGTCCAAGATCAAGTAAAACGTGATTTAGGTAGTAACAATTGTTTGCCAGTTAACTTTGAGCAATCAAGAGCGATAGACACTAGAGCTGTTCACTCGGGACGACTGAAATAACCCAGCATTGCCCAATACCAGCAGAATTTTCATACTTCACCCCGTGCACAAGCATGCTGCAGAGCAAATTAGCCAACATGATTTCTTGCTGAAAGCCACAAAGACTAAATTCCTTCATGGATGTAAACCAGCAAGCCAATGACCTGCAAGCCGCCAAAACAATGGTCGTAACCCACACGCTAAACCCCAAAATATTTCTATTCCATGCAGCCTAGCCCCTTTCTCTTATACACATCTAGATGTGTATAAGAGACAGNCTCGCCTCTTGCCTGATGGCGGCGTCAGGGGCGGGCGCCCTCATGTTGGGGGCCTTGAAGGCCTCGCGCATCACCGTCGGGGCCTTCGACTTCAACTATAACGGCTTGCAGGTAACGTTTTACGCGGTAAGGGATGCCTAGATTTTTATTATCAATAACACATAAGTCGCCACTCAGCTGCTACTGCACTTAACTCACCACTCATCAAAGAAAACCTGATATAATTCTTGTCAGAATTACGATTTGTGTTGTTCAATTGCAAGGAAATAAATAAAACGCTTTTTCGATTGCGCTAGAAAGTTGAGGGTCCGTTTGTTAGCAAAATATATTGTTTTTCTTGAAGGCTGGCGACATAAGTGCTGTGACGAAGTTAGTGGCTTTGACGTTAGTTCTCAGGATGCCAATTTCCAACGCACCGTTACATTAATTAAAATCCTTTCCACCTGAGAAAGGTTTATGTTATATATTGTGAATTGCATGGCGATCTCTTTTCCATACCTGTCTCTTATACACATCTACATGTTTGCGAAGTGCAAACCGCGATTTTTTAATCAAACAAAAATTTATGACATTCGAGCCGCGAGATTTCATACCTACTGAAATTATATGATATTAGAGCCGCGATATTTCAGACAAAAATAGGACTTTTCCAGACTAGCACATAGGTATTAGACTGACTATTTCTATTGTATGTAGAGGGTTGGCATTGGCTTTTGGGCTGATTTAAGAGTCAAATTTTTGGGCTACGGCAGCACTCCCGTTCACTCAATGAACGCAGCTGACTCTCTGGGTTATTTATTTCATCAAACGGTAAATTTGCGGTTCCAAAAATGGCAGGATAGCTCAATTCTAGTCTAGTCGCACCGCTCTGATCTCTGAAGGTAATCTATATAATCCACGCCTACGCTGGATGAAGTTAAAACTTCAGAGGCGGAACTTAATGCAGTAAATTTGCAGTAAGTCAGAATATACCAGAAATATACTGGATTTAAACAAATATATAATATACCAGATCTAAAATATCTATACCAGACACTTTTTCAAAATACCAGATTTGTGAAATCTTGGGAGCACAGCCGTGCACCACCAATTTTGTGCATCAATAAACCCTGAACCATACGCATTGGATCTCATCATCTCCCCAGACATCCACCAATCAGCCGTGAACTTGAAGGCGTGAACCACTCGGCTTTGTCTTCCTCTGGCCTCGCTGGCCCCTCGCACAGAACCTGCCGTGCACCACCAGGCCGCGGATCGAATCTGACTTCCAGCCCCTGGGCATCTTTAAATTGCGTAATTTTACGTTCACCGCATCTGAGTTTAGGTTTCAGATAGCATGGTTCTGTTCCAAAATTTATCGTCCTTCGACAAGTGGCCGTTCGACCGAGGGCTGGTTCTTCTTCTTCTTTGCTGGGGGTCCACGCTGGGTGGACATAAAGCCACAGGTCTGCCTGATGGGATGACCGTTGGGCCTGAGAGCTTGTTGGTTAAGT